CATTGCGATCTCATTAAGAATATCTTGAAGGAAAAAAAAAAGCTAGAGTTTGCCAATTACAAAGTTCTGAATATAAATCAAAAATTGAAGTTTGTATATTTTGATTTTTTTGATTCGCTCATAATGTGAAGAAGTGTATCAAGTAAAGGTTCAATCGAAATACAAATATTATTAACAGCTTCATATAAGGAAAGCCATCAAACATCAAAAATTTTTGGAATTTTTAATAAGGGTTTATTAAGAATTTCTTGATATGAAAATAATATTTTAATTCATTTGCTTGACTTGCTAAAAAAAGTATAAATTTTTTTTAATACTAATTTAGCATAAATGCAGAATTCAACTTGTTTTTCTGCAGAGTCACATGCCAATGATAACCGATGAGCAATACAGTGTGTAGAATATATATATGGATTTACTTCAGTCATTCGTGTTGCAACTCCAGAAATATTTCCTTGCATTACACTTGCACCATCTGATGTAAACGAAAAAATTTTGTGATCTATTTCTAAATAGTAGTGTATGGTACACAAATTTGTATAAAACGAAAAATTAAGTGCTGCCTAAGTTTAGGGTAAGGGCAGGTTTGAGATGGGGCGAGGATTAATTTATACCAAAATTTCGCAAGGAATTTTTTTTATTAATACCCAAAAGGTGGTTTCATAAGCGAAGTTTTGAGTTATAACCGATTTTTTAAAGAAAGCAATAATTTTACGTTACACCTGATCGTGTAATCTGATTGGTTTTTTATATACCCGTGTACATACGCGTAGTGTAAAAATAGAAAAATAAATTAATTTACTTTTTAAATAAATAAAAAATCAAACTATAAACTTACTTTTCGCAATAAATGGTTTAATTATTGCATTATATATAGATTAGCATCTTTATTTTCGATTTCTACTAAACTTAAAAATCGTATTTTTATAATGCCATTAAAAAAATATCTAACATAAATTATAAGGTGAGATTCCATAGCAATATCGGTACTTTCATCAACTATAATTCCAATAGCTAATGCAAGAGATAATTCTCTCCAAATATTATTTTCAATTGAAGTTGATATTGAAAATAATAATTCTCGACCACATATATTATTTTCATAAGTAATTGGTTGGTTTTCAGAAATTAAATGTGGTGCTTTAATAGCACGGCCAAGATGAGTAAGATTTTTAAATTTATTTAATGGAATATCATCTTGCGCCATACTATATATAATTTTCATTAAAGTTATAATATGTTCTTTTGGTATATTCATAATTTCATTTTTTTTAAATGAATTAATATGATCTTTTGTTTTTTCATGTTCTTTCATAGCGCTAAGTCTAAAATTTGTTGTGCCTAATTAAATTATTATATTTATTAGAAACGTATTAAAATTTTTTATATAAATTAATAACTTAAACTTGCCATTTTTTGCAAAAGCATTTTTTTATTATCAGAACGGCATAATTTACAAAACATATGATTACTTTCAGAATCATA